GGAAGCCATTAACTTAGTACCAAAATGTTTTTATTATGTGGCGTTGATCTCCGCTTTTTTTTCACAGAGTATGCAATGTTATGACACGTGTTCAGTAAGGATGACGTAGTCGACCATAAGGCCTCCTGGGGGACATAACTGTGGCATCGTGAAAATGTTCTATTGAAATACCGTGCGTTTTTCTCTTGTGTTAGATTCCGTTCTTTTGTTTCAAGGCACTGTACATATTCAATAATCATAATAATTGTGAACACCATGTTTGAATTATGTTTACACCAAGCAATTGCTACACATCTAAATTTGTGTCACGGATTGGGGACATTTGGATGAACAACAAAATGCATGCAGAATTAACATTGGACAGTGGAAGTAAACACTGCAAATGTTTTCCAGCCCCGGGGCTTAGTAAAGTCATTCCGGGCAATCGATCGAACCGCCATGAAATATCCGAGTGGGTATAGAGGAACAGAGTGCTTGAAAAGGAGGGACAACTGTTGCTCCCATCTAGAAAATACACATGAAACCAACCAATATACAGACGAACCCAGAAACGAGGTACGGATTCAAATGGTGTGCGTCGGTGCATATGCGGAAGAGGGCGCGGTCTGCTCAAACGTACGATCAATATCGGTTTCAATATTTATGCACCAATCGTCATTGATCAGAAGCACACAGCACGTTTGAACGGGCTATGAGAGTGACAGATTGTATAGCGTGACCAGATAAATTAGGAAAATATGGAACTACACATAGCATTTCAAGAATCAAAACAAAAATAAATTGCAAATTTTGATGACAAATAAATGTTGCTGTCTTACACGGATAGTAAAATCTATGCAATGATATCTAACAGAATGGAGACGAACCGAAAATAAATCGGGAATGTGATGTCAACGGGAATGTGGATTTGATGCATTTCTTCACACGGATCATCTACATCTGCCTCTCACGCCTCCACACGGCTGTCTATTTCCGACCACGGAATGCCCCCGCAACGGTAAACAATTACACTATAGAATCTGTCAACTTAAAATGGACCTACACGACGTGGATGGTGTTCACGATTCGAAATAGGAGACACAAGAGGTTCCCACTGTGATGTAGATTCGTTAGACAAAAAACATGTCACTCAAATTTGAAGATAATGAACGTCACCACCACCATGTAGTCACATGTGCGGAAACTAACGACAAATAGGGAACTACACATTAATTACAACATTTTAGGCTGCACTGATCCTAGGAATCACATCAATCTACGCAGAACAGTGGATAGTTGATTAAAATTAACCAGTGCAGTTGGCCAGAGTTTAGTGGGAAACGGGCCGGGACACAGAAGTTTGCCCGATAAAATCTCGTTATTATGTCCATTTTAACAGTTCCGTCTTTTTTCCCGTGTTCGGTATCCCAATCTCCCCTCCCGTTATTGTTATCGTTATCATTGTTTTGGCGTTGGCATCATGTTTATCCCCAAGCCGGTGTTAAATGTATATATGTATATGTCCATTGGCAACTAGAGCACTTTAGGTCCGCTTAGTATACAGGTCGATCCGCAGTTGATTTTGACTAACCAACCAGGAGAATGAGTTGATTAAGATATCGTTTATCGATTGAAAGGAATTTGAACATAGAGAAGGGCAAATGTTGAGCAAAATGCATATTTCGGTACATCATTGGTGTTGACACCGAATTGCAAATCGGCTCCAGGACATGTAGTGATGGCTACGGCAAAGAGAACTGTACAAGTTAGGCTATTTTCAACACGTNTCAACACGTGGGACTCTCTTCCATGCTGCAACAGAGGTGTTACTTTTACCGCGATGAAAGATTTAAAACACGGGTAAGTATAACTTAGTCAAGCAGGAGAAACTCAAATCCAGTAATGCAGCAGTTTGCCTTAGAAAACGGGACTGTGTCTTGATTTGGGCCAACCTCAACAGCGAACATCACCTAGGAAAGCGAACCAGTAAGTGAACAGGATCAGACGTATGTGTGAACAACACAAAACGCCAGCCTATTGGTCTACCAAATCCTTGTCTTTTCAATGCAATATAATAATGCCGTCTGTTAGTTTTTCCTGTTATATCCGTCATGATAAAGTTAATTGGATTTGGCGTAATCAGGCATTGAAATGAAACCACAACCGGAAATATAAGGCTGACAGAGGGTGAGAGTGAACGTGACTAGTGGCTGCATGGGCTCAGGTTCACAAACCCCTGTTCAGAGCATATGACCTCGAATAAAAAGAAATGCCCTAATCCATTCAAGCACGAAAAGGTTTTCCCAGAGGTAAATGATGTTCTTCGCTCAGCTGCATTTTAGGGAAGTATAGAAAAAGAACATTAGGTGATGATTCGGGTCAGTAGGTCAGCCTTGAACGTCCGAATCGGAAAACCACTGAGCAGGGAGGGATGTCAGAAAAATAATGGGGGCACGAATGTGATTAAGAAGGATTAAAGAAACAAAAGAAACCGGTCAGGAAATGCTTCCAGAGGAGAGCATCATTATTAATGGTTCAGTTAATGTGAACCAGTAGACTTGAGCATGATTCAAATTGATATCTTGATGTGACTCGGTTCCAGTGAAAAGTGGAGGATAAGATTCAAATGGACTTGAATAATTGAATTCATAAATAAAGAATATTGCTTATGCCTTGTTAGTACATGCAGAAAACAATGCATAAAAGGGAACAATTCAGTTCTGCAGCTAAACAGTAAAAGTGTGTACTAGTGGTTCCAGTATAGAAATTGGTTAAATGCCAATGCGAGGCAGTGTCAATCGGTACGTTCAAACTAGACAGCAGGATGAAAGAAGAGCACTAACTGTTGGTGGTGATGCTGGTGGTAGCGTTGGATCAAACGTAAACGCATCAAACCACAGCTGAAAAGGCGACAAATTACGCTGGGTTTGTGCATTTTATTCAAATGTGAGTATCGCCTCAGCCCGGTTGAAACCATGAAACTGACAGACCAAATGGAAGCATACAAGAAACTCTGTGGTAGAGCAACTGTTTCACCGGTAAACTAAGTGTACGGTGCAAGTGTATGGTGAGAGTTTTCCTGGTATTCTATTTGACAGGCGAAAAGTGTAAAGTAGAATTTAGTAGATAAAAGACTGTCCACAGCGAAAGTAGCGTGAGGGCGGGATTCGAACATGCAACCTACGAGGCAATGCGCAGACAACCTCCACCAGCCTCGATATAGTACATATCATTTCTGCAAGCAGATCCTCGTTGTGCTTTTTACTTCATCAATGTGAAAGCAAACACTGTGCTGGAGAAACTGCAAACAATCAATTTTCAATAACGACTTCAGTTGTGCATTGCGTTCCCGATAGCCTCCAGTCGAACAGCCCTTTCAATTGTGAACATGAACGCGAAAAAATGGAGTGGATGCAAAAACTGAAAGTATCAAAAACACCCAATTTTTGAATACTTCTGACAACTGATTTCTCATTCAGGTCAAAATAAAGCACCGCTCATATTCAACAGTTTTACTCAATGGTAAGTGTCAGTCAAAGAGATTACTAAATCCTGCTCAGCGCGATCTGCTGATTCACAATTGAATGATTTCTGGTCAGCGCAATTTGCATTAAAGTAATCCTTGCCCACAATGAACACAAAGCCGGAAACAGATAACGCAGAGTTGTCTACAGGGAAGAAATTGTGCACCTCTGCCGAACACATGGGCAATATGCACCGAGGAACTGAACTGTACTCTTCATAAGTCGTAACCAATCCGGATGAAGTCTGAGAGTATACATATGCATACTTGGTTATTATTTCATTTCATCAAGGTAGTAGTCAAGCGGTTAAGATCATCGACTTATAGCCCCGAAGGATGTGTGCTCGAATCCAACCACTCAACCGCTCAACTTTCCCCTTCCTTGTGTATCCTGGGGTAGCGCCTTAATGTGGGAAGCCCACACCCGTCCCGGAAGTTGTTGCAGTATATTCAATAAGAGAAACCAAAAGATCATTACTATTAAATATCACTATTATAAATATATATCCAATCGCGTGTTGGATTGGATTGTGCCGTGTTCATTTTAATGAATCTCTCACCGAGAATAAAGACTTAGACTAAATCATGGCTTCTTCCGATCATTCGTATTTATATACAACAGAATATTAAACTGAAAAGAGATGCCTTTCTCACGTGCTGCTGGGAGATTGAGTTTGATGTCAATGTGAAACATAACACTTTAATCTGCCCAACAATAATTGGAATTAGAAGTGTTAAATGACCCACCGCATGCGGTGCCACGCACGACGAGGATCTGTGCATAATGTATTGACAAACGATCCCAGGCTCATGGTGTAACCTCAGTGTAGACTGGCACCATAAAAGAAATAAGCCGTAATCGATCAAGAAAAGGTACACGTGATCGAACTAGCTTAAGCAAAGAATAAAGAATGGGCACGCCGTTGAATAATGTATTTTCACCTAGCTAGAACACTCCGGGGAACAGAAATCAGATGTGTTCAACGAGGCAAATTACTTTGAAACGGAAAAAATAACGTGACAAATGTGAAGGAGCTAGCTTATATCGATCCTCTCAGAGCTACACTTGATTGATTATCGATCGCTCAAGACCAGACAGACCAACTATACAGATCGCCACCCTGTCTGAATAGGCGGATAATTAAACCTTTATTCAAATAAACTTACGTTCTTTGCCAATAGTGGTCTGGTGAGTAAACGGTAGGCCCAATACCTACGGTTCATTTCTTATCGAAACTTTGTACTACGTACTGACAGACAACACCGGTGGTAGAATTGACTCAGTAATTATTTTCCAAGTAGTATCTTTGCAATTGTGAGTTAAGAGACAGACCCATCAATAGAAGGATAGAACTATTGAGTTATTGAGATAGTGCTGTGTAATGTACACATCGACGCTTCCGTTCGGATTACACTGACAGATACGCACATTTCAACGTCATCATAACCGAGTTTTGCGTAATAGGGCTTACAATGGTTACATTTCATGGTCACTTACCTGCTTCACCTTATGTCGCTCAATCATAATACGTCGTTGGAAGTAGCGTCGATATTTCTTCCCGTTCGCCTCGATCAATTCGGAATCATCTTCCGTGTCCGCTTTGACTTCGGAAAAATAGACCGGTTCGTCACCATCCCAACCAGCTAAATGTGGTGCGTGGTCTGAGTCACCATGCGACCCCGGCGGGATCGGATACCCGTGGATGGTTTCTCTTGTTCCGCGTTCGCATTGGGGCGGGACAAGGGGATTGTCCAACTAGAGAGAGAAACGAGGTGGGGATGAAACGAATCCAGCAAAAAAGGTATGCAATCATTAATCTGAAATGAGAAGAAAGAATTCGTTCTTGTTTTTAAATGCAAGATCAAAACCGCGAGCAGGAACTTCAAACAACACACGGAGAGTATCAGGATAGCAATACGGACAGATTCCACCGCTTGGCTTTCGGTGAACAAACAATCTGATACACTTTAAAACGGTAAAATGGCTGTTAACATGATCGCTTTCCGTTAGTCTTTCGATGTGGGGAGTTATTTAGTTCGGGAGGACCTTTTAAAGCCCCAGTTAGTAAAAATGGACACTGTCGATTTCTGACTATTTTCTCAAATCAATCCAGCTCAAACCGTGTCCAAGCAAACCAAAACTAGTCGTGCGATTGGCGCCAACCTAAACAGCAACGAACAGTGGGCCGCTGGATAGGGGTGACTAGTGCTACCAGCGGAAAAATCGCACTAACTGGAAAAGTTGTTCGAATGACATACGGATAAGAATTGTCAACAGGGATAGACGACGTTTTCGAAAGATCAAATCTGGTAACAACAAACAATCACCCAGTTTGTTATCAGTTAATAATGATGACGACTGGAATGCAACGTGGCTGATTTTTTCCGTCTCACCAAGTTCGATGTGACCGTGTTAGTACCGGCTGTCTTTTTATTGCGATTTGGATTAACTGCGAAGGTGAACCAACTGGATCAAAGTGCAGTTTCAAGTGGTATTTTACAGTATAGAGTGGCCATAAATGGGTAAAGGAAAACTGATTACTATAGGGCAAGAAATAGTAGTGTTTACATATATATATATATATATATGTTTCACATGATAACCTCATCATAAGTGGACTACGGTACGCAGACGGCGGTTGGAGGAAACTGATGGTTCACTGTCTGCTTGGAAAGGTCAAGCTGATCAATACATGTGCTCATTTCAATGAATTGGCTATGTCGCACCGNAATACAATAGAAGAGCCAAAATTACTCGTTGGATCACTGATATAATACGTCCAACAGATGGTCGGTTATTTGGATTTGGATGCTTTTTTAATTGTATATTTTCCATACTACACTTTCGCTTTCCACTTCCTTGAGATCTGAATACCTTTGACTAATAAACGAAAACCGTGAATAAAAATGACTTGGTCACGAGTGAACAGCACACACATCAAAACAGTGAATCATGTATAACTTACAGCCAACTTCGAGAGAGAGAGGGACACACACGAACATGTATTGTGAATGACATTTCTGATCGATCTACACCACTCACAAATTTGTCAAACAGTG